AATGATGAACTACTGCTGCGTTGTCTGGGTCCAGATGAAAGTTTCCAGATGCTGTCTGATGTCCATGATGGGATTTGTGGTGCACACCAGGCTAGGATCAAGATGCGTTGGCTGATTCGCAGACATGGCTTTTTCTAGCTGTCTGTCTTAAAAGATTGTATTGCTTATGCTAAGGGCTGCAAATCTTGTCAGATCCATGGGCCACTTCAAACTTCAAAGAGTTCCAGCCTCTGAACTTAATTCTATTATGAAACCATGGCCATTTCGAGGCTGGGCTATTGACTTAATTGGTAAGGTGTATCCCCCTTCATCAAAAGGTCATTCATTTATTATAGTGGCAACGGATTATTTTACCAAATGGGTGGAGGCTAAACCAATGAAGAAGGTAGACCAATCTGATGTAATCCAGTTCATCAAAGAGGACATTATTCACAGATTTGGTCTGCCAGAAACAATTACAACAGACCAAGGCACAGTTTTTGTCAGCCATCAAGTGGAGGCATTTGCAAAGGAAATGGGTTTCCGTCTGTTAAATTCTACTCATCATTATGCACAAGCTAATGGGCAAGCGGAGGCTTCTAATAAGGTGGTGATTAATTTGCTTGAAAAAATGGTGGATGACAACCCTAGACGCTGGCATGCATTATTGTCTGAAACACTATGGGCTTATAGAACTTCACAAAGGAGTTCAACCAAAATGACACCTTTTGCCTTGACATATGGTCATAACGCAGTCTTGCCAATGGAGCTAATAGCCAGGTCTTTAAGGGTGGTGATTCAGCATAATCTCCAGTCTGGAGAGTACGATGAGGCCATGATGCTTGAGCTTGAGGACCTTGAAGACTCACGTTTGACAGCCTTGGATAGATTGCAAGCTCAAAAACTCAAAATTGCAAAGTCTTACAACAAGAGAGTAAAAGGTAAAAATCTGGCGGTTGGTGATTTGGTCTGGAAAGCAATTTTACCTCTTGGCAAGAAAGATCACAGATTTAGGAAATGGTCTCCAAATTGGGAAGGACATTTTGAATTCATGAAGTGTTGAGAGGGGGTGCTTATTGGTTGGAGTCACTTGATGGAGAGCTTCATCTCAGAAAAATCAATGGAATTTATCTCAAGCCTTATTACCTGACAGTCTGGGAGGCAAGAGGCTTAGAGTCTTAAGAAGCTATCTGAGCCAAGTTCATACTTCTGTCTGTGCATAAATAAGTTGATTTGCTTTTAAGTGTTTATTCCAAAATGAGAGCAAGTTTGATCGAGCGGCCATGACTGGCTGTGGATGGCTGGATGCGCTCAGACAGAGTCAGCTGTGAAAAAGTTGGGAATACCTGCTGCAATCATCTTGGGATTTAGCAGATTTTGCACGTGGCCTTTGGAGTCTGAAAGGTAATTTAAAATTTAAACACTTGGATTTATTACCATAAAACCAAGTGTTGGGGGGCATTGTTTACACCTAAAATAAACCAATAGGGTAAGGCCACGTGTCAAGGTAAAACCCAATTATCAAGAAAATCAATAGGCTGGATTTGGGCTGGGCTGACTTACAATTTAACGGCCCAGATGGATTTCCAAGGAGGTTGGATCTTAGGTGGCAGAAGATAAGATTAGATCTGGTAGTTTGAGTTTGATTTAAAATGGGAAATTGAGGATTTTTAGGTAGTTATCTTTAAGGTTGTTGGAGATAAGGTTAAATAAAAATCGGATAACTATTAAATAACTGCCAGACCTGCAATCCCATTACCAAATCATGGAGGAACAGTGCCGAAAATCGAGGAACAGTACCGAAGATCATGGAGAAGATCATGGAGGAAGTTATCAGCATCGAAGGGAACAAAAACAGAGAGAAGAGAACAGTTCAAGGCCGGCCCAACACACACACAGACTGCCCAGAGCATGTTTTTCAGCTTTCAGACTGCATTTTCCAGATTTCAGCAATAGTTTCTAGATTTTCCAGACTTTCCAGATTTTCCAAATTAGTTCATAGCCTTAGTCTAGGTTTGTTCATCATATTTTCTCCCACAAATTCCAATTTAGATTAGTTTTTAAGCATTTGGAAGCAACTTAGCCTTCAAAACAGGTCTGCCCTTTTGATTCGGTTAGTTCTTCTTCTTTTTATGGATTTAGTTATGTTATTCGTTCATGTAAATAGGTTGAACATTTTCTACCTTTGTTCTTTTGTTTCTGCACAATATCCAGACATGCAGTTTGTTTAGTTTCAATTTCCAGATTTAAATTTATAAGTTTCCAGACGTTAATCATTTCATAGTTTCTTCTTCAGTTTTAGTTATCATTATGGGCTGTGTAGTTGAAATCATTGTCTGTTATTTTACTTTTTCTGTTGTCTGCGAATTTAATCTTTATGGCATGTTATTTTTTGTCATTTATTTCATGTTAGTTTAATTGCTTTAGGATATTGCATTTATTTTAGGATTTGTAGCTTTTATTACACTTGTTTGGTTGTGAAGTCCTTGGAGGTTTCCAAGGCAATTAGTAACCCATTTTGCAGAGATCTACCCTCTGTTTTGCAACATCGTCTGGGGCGCAATTCATTTCACAGACGTTCTTTCCAGCCATCCTATTGGAGGTCGACCGTTGGAAAGGAGAAGGGTCGTTTGGAAAATCTTATTTTCTTGTTTTTAGACAAAGCAAGTGGCATGCCTAATATCCAACTCACGTGGTAAAGGCCGGTTGAGGATTTTTGGGGAAACAGACAATAAGCCCAATGAAAGTAGGGGCAGTTCAAGGGCAAAAAGGGGCATTTAGGTGGCTGAACTTTTATATATTTGGGTTGATTAGCTCATCACATAATAGTGAGTCTGCAAAGGTAGGATTGTAATCGATATCCTTTATTATGAGCTGCTTTTTGTGTTGATTTCCTTGTGAGTGTTGAAGCATTGGAGTAACACCCATACTCTTTTAATAAAAAGGAATTTTTAACATATGTGCTAGGCATGTTAAAAGTATATTTATTGTATATTTATTGTATATTTTAATTTTAATTAATTTATATATATAACCCAATCTAGCATAGGGTTTAGGAAATTATTCCATTAGCATGAGAGAGAGAGGAAGATAGAGAGAAAGAGGGGGCGATCGTCGGACACAAGGAAGAGGGACAACACAGGGTTGAGAGCATGCAAGATCTCAGGGAAGAAGCTGTCAAAGGTGGAATGAGGTGAAGACACAGAGGGGAGCGCAGCTAGTTCAGAATCAGCCTCAGAGAAGAATTAACAGAGGGTCATATGACTGGGAAATGTACAAACAGGCCACTCCATAGTTTTTTACAAATTTTCCAGAGGATTGGAGTTATGCAGACATGTGGAATACTTTCTTGAAATATGGAAGAGTTTATGATATATATAGTCCAAATAGGAAAAGCAGAAATGGGGGTAGATTTGGCTTTGTTGGATTCTTGAATGTTAAGGATAAAAAGGAGCTGGAGAAGCAATTAGACCAGATCTGGGTGGGGGAGAAAAAACTATGGGTGAACTCTTCAAAGTATGAAGATGAGCAGAAGGCTGATAGGGGAAGAAGTAGTCAAATCATGGAGCCAGTACTGCAGATGAGAAGTTACGCCGAAGTAGTAAGAGGCCGGCAGTATGGAAATCATGAGAAGGAGCTAAGAATCAAGAACAACGAATCTCAATTTGAAGAGAAAGGAGAGAACAAAAACAGAAACAAGCAGGAAGAGAGAAAGAAGGATGAAAGGAAAGTGTGGTAGGAGAAAGGAGTGAGTAAAAGCTGGGCTGGATTGGAATATAACGTGAAGCAAGAGGATAGTGCATGGCTAGATCACTGTTATGTGGGTTTGGCTCATTTGATTGAAATTGTCCATAATTTGCAGGAAAAGTTCTACATGGAGGGCTATTTCTCATGTCGAATCCGCGCTATGGGGGGAAAGATGGTGCTGTTAGATTGTGAGGAGAATGGTGAATTAGAGGACTTGGTAGAGATGGCTTCACAGTGGTTGGGACAGTGGTTTGAATGGGTACGACATCAGATATGGTTGCTAAGGACAAATTTGTGTGGATTAGATGTCAAGGAGCACCATTAAATGTATGGGGAACAAACTTCTTTGAAACCATGGCCTGCTCATGGGGAAAATTCATGTGTTTGGATGATAGCACAAGTAAAAGAAGAAGGTTTGACATTGCGAGATTCCTGATCTCAACTCAGATTCAGGACAATATTTCTGTTATGCATCAAATTAAAATCAATGGGTCTCTATATAATTTGAAATTCACAGAGGAATGTTCCAATAACTTCTTCTCCTTGAAACAAGATTTCATGCCCACTTTTCAAAGTGACTCAGAGGATCATGAATCATGGTTAGTTGATGATGGAAATGAGGGCTTTGCTACTGAAGAAGCCACAGAAACAGAGCAGGAAAAAGAAGAAAATGATGGGTTAGAGGTTGAAGATGATGATGTGGCAAACAAAAGTGATGAGTCCAACGGAAACTTTGACCCACAAGCATGGGAAGAAGTGACAAAAGCTGCAGAAGCAATGTTAGAAAGAGCAATTCAAATTCAAAAAGAAGTTGAGAGAGTGAATAGTGTAAGAGACAAAGGGGTGGCACGACAGATATGGAAGACTGATAAGGTTGCTGGGAAGAATTTGGGCTCACTGGAAAGGCATGAGATGAAGCAAATAGGGGGGCCGAACTTGCATGAGGGCAGCCCAAGCTAGGCAGCATCTTTTAACTTGGGTTTGGCCCAAAAAACATGTGAAGGGACAAACCCAAATTCAGAAAGTGTAAAGGGGAAGCCCAACAGCAGGAAGCATGTGGCGGAAATGGAAAAAAGTGCAGAAAATGAAGTGGAGGTGTTTAGAAGCAACAAACAGGTGGCAGAAGCGGTAGATAGTGCAGATAGTGGGAAAGAGAGGTGCAGAAACAGGGATCACAAGGCAGAAAGGAAGGAAAAATCTGCAATGGTGATGGAAAGTAACAGGGGCTGTGAGCATGCAGAAGAAACGAAGGACAGTACAGAAGAAGAGCTACCACAGGAATCTCACGGAAAAAGTAAAGAGGGAGTGCAAATCTGGAGGAATGAGAGACCGAAGAGGGCTGTAAAGATGAGGAAGAAGAAAATAAGTTTATGCAGTTCGGTTTACTCAAAATCGGAAGTTGTTGGAAAAATGAATGGAAAGAGAAGGACCGACAATCAACAAGGGGAAGGGAGGGTAGATCCGGAATTTGTAGTGAGCCCAAATGGAGAAATTGCAAGCGAATCCATTGCCGACAGTGGAATCCAGAACTGCAACAGAGCATGGAGGAAGAAAATGAGTGACCAGCTGGCTAAAGAAATTTGGGATTTAGCAAAACAGCTTGGTGCTACAATAGAGAATGAAGAAGATATTGTGCAAAGAATTGAGGAAATGGAGAGTAGAGACAAGGAGACAAAGACAGAATTGGGAAGGCAAGGAGCCGGTGATGTAAAGAAGGTAAGCAGATATCTTAAAGATATTATTATCATTTAATATTAGAGACCTTGGTGGGATTGGAAAAAAAAAAGACAAATTAGAGAATTAGTTAGAAAGGAGAATGTGGATTTTCTAATGATTCAGGAGACTAAAATGATGGTAATGGATAGAGGTATCTGTAGAAAGTTGTGGGGTTATAATGATTTTGATTGGGTATTCAAACCTTCAGAAGGAATGTCCGAAGGCCTTGTATGTGTATGGAATTCTAAGGTGTTCAGGAAAAAAGAGGATTTAATGGGGAGCAACTATATTGGTGTGAGTGGGTTATGGAGGGAGGATCTGACGCTTGTAAATATTTTGAATGTCTACTCCCCATGTCAGCTGACAAGAAAAAGAGCCTTATGGGAGGAGATAATGAATCTAGTTAGGAGTAGAAAGGGCAAATGGTGCATTGGAGGAGACTTTAATGCTGCAAGAAGTGTAAAGGAACGGGCAGGATGCAAGGAGGTATCGAGGGAAATGAGTGAGTTTAACTATTTCATTCATGATGCAGGATTAGTTGATTTACCAATAGTGGGAAGAAAATACACTTGGTACAACTCTAATGGCCAAAGCATGAGCATAATTGATAGATTTTTTCTTTTGGAAGAATGGCTTATGAAGTGGAGTGATGTAAAGCAATGGGGATTGAGAAGAACAGTGTCAGATCATTGCCCTGTCATGTTGAAGAATGAGAGGATAGATTTGGGACCAAAACCATTCATATTCTTTGATGTATGGCTGGAACAACCAGGTTGCAAGGAAATGATCAGTAATGTGTGGAGATCGACAATGATTAAAGGATGGAAGGGCTTCATTCTCAAAGAAAAACTGAAAAGAACCAAGCAAGCATTGAAAGAGTGGAGTGGTAGATCTATGGCAAAGGTTGACTGTAAAATAAGTGAGGCAGAAAGGGAGATAGCAGCAATTGACAAGAGAGGAGAGGAGGTACAACTCTTGGCTGAGGATAACAAAAAGAGGAGAAACAATTTTCTTGACCTTTGGAGGAATTTAAAAATAAAGGAGAGAATGTGGCAGCAAAAGTCAAGGAAGATGTGGCTAAAGGAAGGGGATGCAAACACAAGATTCTTCCATAGAAGTGTGAAGGGAAGATGGAGGAGAAACGAAATGAATTGTATCCAAATTGATGGTGAATAGCATACGGGGGTGGCTCAGATAAAAGAAGAGGTGGCAAAGTACTTCGAGAAGATGTTCACATAAGAAAAATGGAATAGACCAAAGCTCGATGGCATCAACTTCAAACAGATATCCCAGACAGATAATGAGCTCCAAGTGGCACCTTTCACTGAAGAGGAAATTAGAAATACAGTGTGGGATTGTGATTCTACAAAGTCACCTGGGCCGGACGGTTTTAACTTCAGATTCATTAAAGATATGTGGGAGGATATAAAAACTGACGTTGTGGGGTTCATTCAAGAATTCCATGAGCAAGGAAGGCTTGTGAAAGGGTCAAACCCTTCTTTCATTGTTTTAATCCCAAAGGTGGAAAACCCACAGCGAATAGAAGAATTCAGACCCATCTCACTTATTGGGATCATGTATAAGATCATCGCGAAGTTATTAGCAAACCGACTTCAGAAAGTGCTGGACAGAATTATTGGGGAGCAGCAGATGGTGTTCATATGTGGTAGACAACTTGTGGATGGTGCAGTAATTGCAAGTGAGGTGATTGAAGAGGCAAGGAGAAAGAAAAGGAAAAGCTTCATGTTCAAAATTGACTTTGAAAAGGCATATGATAAAGTATGTTGGGAATTCCTAGACTACATGATGCTGAGGATGGGATTCAATGATGCATGGAGGAAATGGATACAGGAGTGTCTTCAATCAAGCATGATTTCAATCCTTATCAATGGAAGCCCAACAAAGCAGTTCCTTGTCAGCAAAAGCTTAAGACAAGGTGATCCGCTATCCCCTTTTTTATTTTTGATTTTGGCAGAAGGGTTAAATGGCTTAGTGTCATCCGCAATTGAGAAGGAACTGTACAAGGGGGTGTTGATTGGTGATGGTGAGGTGATGGTCACCCATTTACAATTTGCGGACGATACAATTTTTTTTGGGGAGGCATTAGAAGACAATATAGGAGTGATCAAATGTATCATGAGGACTTTTGAGTTGGCCTCGGGTCTGAAAATTAATTACGGGAAGAGTCAGATAGTGGGGGTTGAAGCAGAGGAAGGATGGATTGAGAAAATGGCGTATAAGCTGTGTTGCAAGGTGGGAGAGTTCCCAATGAAATACCTGGGAATTCTAATTGGTGGGAATCACAGAAAACTAGCAATGTGGCAGCCATTGGTGGATTCTTTCAAAAGGAAACTAGCTAGCTGGAAAGGTCGGCATCTCTCGCTTGCAGGTCGGGTCACACTCATTAACTCTGTGTTGTCTAGCTTGCCTGTGTTCCTGATGTCAGTCTACCTCATTTCAAAAGGTATTCTCAAATCTATTGATAAAATTCGTAGAAGTTTCTTTTGGGGAGGGGAGGGAGTAGACAAAAAAATTAATTGGGTTAGCTAGGAGAGGGTTTGTAAGCAAAAAGAACAAGGAGGGCTGGGAGTGAGGGATTTGAGAAAATTTAACTTGGCGTTGATGGGAAAGTGGTGGGGGCGATTAGCGACAAATGGAGAAGGCTTATGGAAGAAAGATATTGTTCGAAAATATGGGGGGGAGGAGGACATTGGCTTGATTGGGTGAGAGATGGGAGAAGGGTTGGCTCGATATGGTGGAGAGATGTTCGTGCCCTTAATATGGGGCACGGGATGAATGTAGGGTGGTTGTCGGAGGGATTTAGGATAAAGGTAGGAGAGGGGAAAATGGTGAGTTTCTAGTGGGATGAGTGGTGCGGGGAGGGTTGCCTTGCTAATAAGTTCCCTAGATTGTATTTATTGTCAACAGGTAAAGAGAAAGAATGCTATCAAATGGGTAACACTCAAAGCGACACATGGAAATGGAACCTATCATGGAGAAGAAGCCTATTTCAATGGGAAGAAGAGGAGGCAAATGAGCTCTGCAAGATGATAGAGGAGGTGAAGATCTACCCAGGATGTCCAGATGAATGGGAATGGAGGCATAGTAAGGATGGCCTATACTCAACCTCAATTGCGTACGCGATGTTAACAAAAGATGAAAGGGGATTGGTTTAATTGGGTATGGAATCCTATTCTCCCAAGTAAAATTGCTGCGTTTAATTGGAAAGTAATGATGGATAGAATTCCAACCAAACTGAATTTGCTTAAGAGAGGAGTCATCAAGGACATGGGAGATGGGAAATGCACATTGTGTGAGGTGGAGGACGAGGACATCAATCACTTGTTTTTGAATTGCAATGTAGCTAGGTGGTTATGGATGGCTTGTGCTAAATGGTGGGGGATTACCATCAAGTTAGACAAGGACTGTAGGAAGACCTTTGAAAATTTCGAGATATGGACCAAACATCTAAGCATCAGAGAAGGATGGGACTGCATCTAGAACACAACGGTCTGGTTCATGTGGCTTGCACGAAATCAAAAGGTTTTCCAAGATTCGGAGGCAAATAGGGGTAAGATATTTGAACTTATTCAATTGAGATCTTTTGTATGGATTAAGGCAAAGAAAGCTAGGTGTTACTTCAATCTTTCAGACTGGTTGCAAGATCCAATTTCATGCCTTACTACAAACTGTGGGGGGAATTGAGTAAATTGGAGAAGGATAGGTTTGAAAGATGGGGGTAACTTGAATTGGCTGGTATTTTTGCGTGTTTGTAAATGGGTTTGAGTACCCCTTGTACTCAGTTTCTGATTAAAAATATTATTTGGCTTTTCAAAAAAAAAATTAAAAATATATATGTAGCATTGGTGATAAAAATAAAATCAACTTTTGTATTTTTTTAGAAAATTAAATGTAAAAAACGATAATTAATGTATCTTTAATATGTGTCTATAGTTTAAAAATACATATTAAACAAACACTTAATAAAATAATAAAAAAAAACAATTCATGAATAAAATAAGAAAACTAATATACAAAAAACTCCAAAAATATTTATATATAAAGTGAGAAAGAGAAGAAACTATCAAATAGAGAAAATTATTTTGTTTTATTTCATAATTTAGATCAATCGGTGGTCAAATTATTACAACAACAATTAAATTCAGATCTTCCCAACGCCAGACAAGCACCTCCCTTAGGAAATCCTCTCGCAACACAAGCGGTATGGCAATCTGGTAGTACATTTTTACAAAGTCCCAAGCAAATTTGTGGTAGCACTCCCTGTGCAGGCAAAAAGATATGGGAAATTACTCAAATCATAAGAGTATGGGTGTTACTCCAATGCTTCAACGCTCACAAGGAAATCAACACAAAAAGCAGCTCATAATAAGGATATCGATTACAATCCTACCTTTGCAGACTCACTATTATGTGATGAGCTAATCAACCCAAATGTATAAAAGTTCAGCCACCTGAATGCCCCTTTTTGCCCTTGAACAGCCCCTACTTTCATTGGGCTTACTGTCTTTTCATGCGTTTTCACAAAGAGCGTCCTGCAGCTAGACTGTTCATAACCTTTGCTCCTCATTTTCAACTGTGAGTTCTAAAAATGCCTTTTAGAAGCCCATTTTCTTAAATTTCCCCTTTTTGCCTTTTATTTTGGCTTCTTATGATTTATTATTTTTTTTTACACCTGATAAAATTAGACTTGATTTGAAGATCTAACTCAACTTATCTATATAGGTTGAGTCATAAATCCAAAATATTAATATGGAATCTGATATAGGAAGATGGCGAGGGGTGTAGCGTCTCAGGACGGCGGCAGATCCAGATGGCGGCAAGGTCACAACTGGAGGAGAGGAGATTCTAAGAATAGGACTCAGGGACAGGTAGAATCGTTCTTCATTTACAACTTCCCAGAGGAATGGGATGCGAAGGCACTGTGGTACCAGTATCAGAGGCATGGAAAGGTTGTCGATGTGTTTATCCCAAGTAAGAGAGATAGATGGGGGAAACGGTTTGGATTTGTCCGAATGCGAGGAGTGCAAGATGTTAAGCAACTCGAAGAGAGACTGAATAGGATATGGATCGGGTCCTATAAGCTGAGGGCAAGAGTGGCATCTTCCAAGAGACAACAAGAGATAAGAAGTCAGAGGAATGCTGGGAAGAAGTCTGGGACTGACAGGGTACAGAGAAGATTTGAGCAGCGAAGAAGCGCTAGGCTGAAAGAGGGCATCAGAGAGCAGCGCTTTGTACAACCAGGATTGTCATACGTTCAGGTGGTGATGGGGGATTCAAGGAAACACAGTGATCTGGTCCTGAATAAACAAGAAGAAAAGAAGGAGAAATCTGCAGCTATGGATAGAATATCTATTATCCAAAGGAAGTCTGCGAGTCTTGAGGGGAAAAGCTCCGAGGAAAAGGAGGGAGCGGTGAACTCGAGGATCAATAGGGAGGAAATTATTGAGTTCAGCCCATTGAAAGAGGAGAATGAATGGTTGCAGGGGAGCATGATAGTAGTGGTTAAGTCCATGTCAATGATCTCTACTATCCAAGAGAGATTGGATGTGGATGGGGGTTTGATAAATATATCACCATTGGGAGGGAGAACCATTCTATTAACGGAGAGATTGGCGGGGTATTTGAACGAGTATTTGCTACAACACAAAGAGTTATTTGAGCTCTGGTGTGAGAAAATACACTCATGGGATGAGGCACCGCAAAACTATGGTAGAATGGTTTGGGTGCGTATATCCGGAGTCCCCCTAAAAGCTTGGAGTAAAAGATGTTTTGAGATGATAGCAGCTTCGTTAGGGGAAGTAGTATTGGTGCATGAAGATACAAAATCCAAGTCGATTTTGTGCGATGGAAGAGTGATGATCTTATGCTCTGAAAGGAATAAAATTGTAAAGACACTGAAGCTAAAAGTGGAGGAGAAGTTGTATCAGATTGGAGTGACAGAGGAAGAGTGGAGGGCCGACCCGGATTGGTGGCTGTCGGAGGATGATCGGAGGGAGGAGGTAGAAACGATTTCCGATGTTTCCTCGTCGGAACAGGGTGAAGAGGATCACAAGTTCAATCATTCCGTGATTCGAGGTGATGATGTAGATGACGTAGAGGAGACTGATGGGGAACGGATAGAGGCAGAGGGAATTTCAAATTCAAAAAAAGGGGCAAAAACAGAGAGTAGGGGGTCTGCGAGAGAGGAGAACAAGGAGTTGGATGGGCTCAATAATCAAAAGGGCCTGAAAAGGGATGCAGAAGATGGGCCTGAAGAAGAGTATGGGTTGAATGTGAGCATTTCTCATGTGCAAGAAACTAGAGACTCCGGGAATGGGCCAAAGAGCTTAATCGGCAATTTAGGTGATGTGCAGGGGCAAATTGAGGGGGAGCTGAATAATGGGGCTAAATCGGGAACTAGGGATTTGAGAGAGAAGAAAAAGAAAGATCTGAAAGATTGTTACCCACAAGAGAAGCTCGCAGGAGGTGAAGGGAGGGCTTAAGAGAGATCAGTCTCAACCATGCAGAGGCTTCACCGAAACCAGAAAGTACTTCCGACAGTCCAGAACGGGGCGGAGGTGCAAGATCATCGGGCTGGGAGCTCCTCCTTGTCTGATGGGTGCATAGCTCACAGAAACAAGGTGATACGCAGGGAGATGCACATACAGGAGGTAAGAAGGATTTTTAACTTAGGCAAAAGGTCGGGTATAGAAGTGGATGATAACGATGGGGAAGTGCAGTCAAGACTAATGGAGTTAGAGGTGAGGGACGAAGGGCAGGGGAGGGTTTAGACAGGGCATTGGCGATCCAGTAGGATAGGTGTGAGTTTATTTTATGTTTTTTATGAAATTAATATCATTTAATGTGAGGGGGTTAGGGAGTGTGTTGAAGAGGAAGGAGGTGGGTAAATTGGTAAAAATTGAGCGTCCGGATGTATTATTTCTGCAGGAGACAAAACTAGAGATGGTGCAGGGGAATCTTTGTAAAATGATGTGGTTTTCGGATGAATTCGATTGGGTAATGAAGGAATCGGTAGGTGCATCTGGAGGATTGTTGTGTGTTTGGAATAGGATTGAATTTGTGAAACAAAAGGATTTTTCAGGTGACGGGTTTGTGGGTATCTCAGGTGAATGGGGACAACAGAAGTTAAAGTGCAATTTGGTGAATGTCTATGCCCCAAATGACAGACAGAAGAAACTTAAGCTGTGGGAAGAACTCCGGCATATGATAGTGGAGGAGGAAGGCGGATGGCTGATTGCTGGAGATTTTAACGCTGTTAGGAGCGCAAATGAAAAGAAGGGTAAGGTAGGGGAGACAATGGATATGAGGGATTTTGATGATTTTATTGTGTCAGCTGGATTGGTGGACTTAAAGTTGGCCAATAGACGTTTCACGTGGTATAGGCCGGATGGATCGGCTATGAGTCGGTTAGACAGGGTCCTGATGTCGGATGAGTTGTGCAATTTAGGAAAGGAATGGGTGCAGCAAGGACTGAAGAGGACTGTCTCAGATCATTGTCCGATTATGGTCAAAACATCAACAGCAGATTGGGGACCGAAGCCTTTTCGAGTGTTCGATGCATGGCAACAACACCCACAATTTAGGAAGGCGGTAGAAGACAAATGGAAGGAATTAAATGTGGAAGGGTATGCTGGATACAGATGCTTGAAAAAGCTAAAGAGATTAAAAGAATTTCTAAAAGGCTGGAATAAAGAGGTGTTTGGGAACATGGAAGCACAATTTAGTAATGTTGCTGAAACAGTTGAAAGACTAGATTTGAAAAATGAAGTGGCAGATCTGGAGGGAAGCGAGGTGAAACAAAGGAAAGAAGGTTTTCAGCAGATATGGGATATGTTGAGGTTGAGAGAGGCTATATGGAAGCAAAAATCAAGAAGCGAGTGGGTTAAGTTGGGAGACCAGAATACCAGATACTTCCACAAGGTTGCAAATGGGAGAAAGGCAATTAATAGCATCCAGGGAATAAAGAATGATGGTCAATGGGTAGAGGAACCAGCTATGGTTAAAAAAGAGGTGTTGTCTTACTTCCGCAAGATGTTTCAAGAAGATTGTTGGGTTCGGCCAAAGCCTTCAAACATTGTTTTCAAGAAAATTTCTGAAGAGCAGATGGTATGGCTTGAGAGACCCTTCTCTGTTGAGGAGATTGAAGAAGGATTAAAGAGCTGCGATGGAAGTAAAGCCCCGGGGCCTGACGGGTACAACCTTAATTTCCTCAAATTTTTCTGGAACAGTATTAAGGATGATTTTGTTGCTTTTTTCCATGAATTTCATCAAAGTTGTAAACTAGTAAAAGGGCTGAATTCTTCTTTCCTTACGTTAATTCCTAAAAAGCTGAATCCTAGGGAATTGAAAGACTTTAGGCCTATTAGTTTGATAGGTTGTGTGTACAAAATTCTGTCAAAGGTGCTAGCTAATAGGCTTAAAAATGTTATGTCAGAAATTATCAGTGAAACACAATCTGCTTTCATTGGGGGAAGACAATTAGTTGACAGTGTCTTGGTTCTAAATGAAGTTGTGGATGAGGTTAGGAATAGGAAGACACCAGCTTTTGTTTTTAAGGCAGATTTTCAAAAAGCTTACGATTGTGTTAACTGGACATATCTGGATTGGATGATGGAGAGATTTGGTTTTGGAGCCAAATGGAAGGGGTGGATTAAGGAATGCCTTTCAACTGCACGGTGTTCGGTGTTGGTAAATGGCAGCCCAACGGAGGAGTTTGAATTGGAGAGAGGGTTGAGACAAGGGGATCCTTTGTCTCCATTCCTATTTCTGATGATTATGGAGGGGTTAAATGGATTGGTTAAAAAAGCAGAGTCTGAAGGACTGCTACAGGGAATAGAGATTGGTAAAAAGGGGCTGACGGTTTCCTTGCTGCAATTCGCAGATGATACGGTTATTTTGGGAAGAGCTGACAGTGAAAATATTCTTACGGTCAAAGCTATTCTAAGATGGTTTGAGATAATGTCAGGGCTAAGGATCAACTACAGCAAAAGCAGTATCCACGGATTTAATGTGAAAGAGAGCTGGGTAAGAGGAGCGGTAGGCACGCTTCGGTGCGGTATAGGGGTGAAACCTTTCTC